ATTGCGGCAGTAGGTTCCGCAGAGGACCACTGTAGCTGCCTTAGAGGCAGCAGAATCCCAGCGCGCTCAGGTGAGAATCTAACAGTTGTTTGAAACGTTCCTCTGTCTCAGCATCAACAACAGGATCCGGCAACCGGTTCCAATCATTCACCACGCGAGTTGATAAGGCCAAATTGAGCCGCACACGGAGATTCCTCGGTTTGAACAGTTTCATGCGGTAGCCTCGTGTCGAACTCTCAGTGTTAAGTTAAAAGAAGTCCTGTAACTCGCAACCCAGTTCTCCTCTGAGAATACGTCGGGTGAAAATCAAATCTCCTCGGTGACGGCGTCGTCAATCAAGTTATGGAACCTAACGTGGCGGAAGCGCAATGTGGATTCCGTTCGGGCCGCAGCACTATAGATATGATGCTTGCGGCTCGTCATTTGCAGGAGAAGTGCGGAGAACGACACCAGCCATTGTACTCGCTTTTCGTTGATTTCACCAAAGCATTTGATACGGTGAACTGCGAGGCATTGTGGCTGGTGTTGGGTAAATTTGGTTGCCCGCGTAAGTTTGTAAGTTTAATTGAATGTCTGCACAGTGGTATGCGAGCGAGGGTGCAGCTGAGTGGAGAGACCTCGGATGACTTTGCAGTTGTCTCTGGTGTGAAGCAAGGCTGTGTGTTAGCTCCTTCCATGTTTAATATCTATCTTCATGGAATGTTGTCCTGTGCATTTGATGCGGCTTGTGCTTACAGTGTTCGTGTGGAGCACCGTATTGATGGTGGGTTGTTGAACATCCGTCGTTTCGGTGCAAGAATTCTAGTCTGTGAAACAACTATCCGTATGTTGCTGTTTGCTGAGGACTGTGCGTTGTTTTCACACAGCGCGGATGAGTTGCAGCACATGACTAGTGTTCTGGCTTCGACAGCGGCCAAATTCGGGCTCACCATCAGCACAAGCAAAACTGTCCGTCTCTTTCAACCTTCACCGGAGGTGCAATCTTTAATATTGCCGCGAATCAGCATTGGTGCTGAAGTATTGGAAACCACCTCCCGTTTCAGCTACCTTGGGAGTGTGATGTCGAGTGATCAGCAGCTACACGTTGAGCTGCGTATTCGCGTGTCGAAGGCAGCGGCGGCATTCGGATGCTAGAGTACCGAGTGTGAAACAACTATCAGCTTACCACTGGCACGGAGCTGATGGGATAGAAATTCATGGTGCTGTCGGTTCTTCTATATGGCAGTGAAACGTGGACGATGTACCGGTGGGATGTGCGATATTTCGAGCGGCTTCATCAACAGTGTTTGCGACGGATTTTGCGCATCGGTTGGGGCGACAGGGTTGCGGACATGGTGTTGCGCGGAATTGGAATATATGCAGTAGACTGCATACTCTTGCTGAAACACCTGAGGTGGCTGGGTCATGTGAGCCGTATGGATTCGACGCGGATACCGAAACAACTCTTATATGGTCAACTCAGTATTGGGAAACGGCATGCGGGGAAACCAAAATTACGTTACCAGGACATGATCAGAGTGATCCTTTTACGTGCTACTCTTGATTGCAGGTCATGGGAATCGGAGGCGGTTGATCGACGTGTATGGCGTGATTTGATCACAATTGCAGTTGCCGAAGTGCGAAAGTCCTCATGGGTGTATAGAAGAAGCGGCAAGTGCGGAGGCGGCAAACACCAATGAGTGGTACTCCATCGACATCGAGCGTATGATGCTGTAGCACATGCGGTCACGAGTGCCTGAGTGAGGCAGGCCTAGTGAGCCATGAGCGAGGCCACTCGGGACCACTACGGAAGCGACGACGGGTTCTGCTGAGAGTGTTGGCAGAACCGGCGCATCGTGTGTAGGTACGCTGCATTCCATTTACTAACCATGTGTTTGCATGCGAAATCTATTTATTTCAGGTGGTGGGTTTTCAATTTTGTCCTAATGCTTTTATTTCTCATATAAATGTCTATCTGTACGCTCTTCTATAAACTTGCACACGTCGCTTAAGCCAATTGTAGTTAATTTCGATAACATTTTCGCGTTTGTGTCATTTCCGTAAAATATACTTTCGGACCTCGTGAACTTATCTCTTATTCGTTGGTAGACAACTGATTTCATATGCTTATTAATTTAAAATTTTTGTCGCGTTTTCTTATGCATTACTCGATTTATTTTCTTCGTTTTCTTTCTCTCAAGTTATTGGCTGTTGCTTGATATCCCCGGTGTGGCTGCGCTTGATGTGCATGTTGACAAGATGCCTACCTGTTTATTACTCCCTACCTCGTCCATACTGGCTCCAGGAGACAGTTGGTCGTTGCTGGAGTGGTCGGGGTGCACAGTCCTTGTGGCCGTGTTAGGATCAAAGAGTGGTTTCATGCACTCAATGTGTAGCGGACTACGGTCCAGCCACCGCCTTGTGTGCGCTTGATTCCCCAAATACAGCGTGTTAGTGTTTGCCTGTGAAGGAGTGTGGGCTGGCTCCGTTGGTGAAACGGGGCTCCCATCCACATGCCTGCCGGTCTTAATCTTTCGGGTTTACACTGGATATGGGGTGTGGTTGGAGCTGTGGGTGGTGCAGCGCAAGCCACCGATGGTCCCTCTGTAGGTGGTAGGCGTCCTGTGGCTTGCCAAAGTGACAGGCAAATCCGAAACCGGATGCCGCCAACCACACACACACACACACACACACACATATATATATATATATATATATATATATATATATAAATCTTGAGAATAAACGGACATCGCAGAATATATATATATATATATATATATATATATATATATATATATATTCTGCGATGTCCGTTTATTCTCAAGTTTTCGCTTTGTTTTTCATCCATGTCCGCGACGTTTGCATACATTAACTCACCGCATGTTTCCAGTGTTCCTTTCACTTATCGAGCTTTCTCCAGTAATTTTTTTTGCGGTTTGAGTGGCAGCTTGTGTTATTCTAGATGTACGGAGACCTGAGGATACTGGGGTTCAACTGTTATCGTGGTTGTTCCTGTTGGCCCTCTTTAGAACGCAGGTGGCGATCTCCTACCTGTGTTGTCACTTCTAGCACCCAGATTGCTTCTTTATAGGAAGTGGAGTGATTATTTGACGTGATCAATTATTGTTACATAGTTTTCTTTGAATCGCCTTGTTACTGAATCACCTGAACGGCCGATGCTTTAACCTCAAGCATACTTGTTTCATCAGTACTGAGGATTGCGTTGCACGGTTTCTTTGTTTTCACATTCGTTCGCAAATTGGAAACGGGTCCGTTGAGTTTTCCTACCACCAGCTCGACTAGAGTAACTGTTGCTACCTTGCGTTCTTCGTGATTTCGTGCCACCCGTCGCCCATCAGATTCGGTCCTAGGCTTCTGCTACAGTTCAGCTACCCCACACTAATGGTAACATACTTAACTCTGACAAACTCGATTTATCGTGTTCTAAAGCTTCAGATAACTATTTAACTAATTGCTGGTTAAATTGTCGGTTGAATGTTGAGAGCATGCAGGCACTGCCATATTCTTCGTGAGCTGAATGAAGTGTTCCCGTGCACTATGCCACAAGGCTCCCACTATTCCGTACCTGCCCTTCGGTACCTCACGCGGCTTTGATCGGACACAGAATGATATGAAACGTATACCCACTTATCGCTACCTGAGCATGTCCCCATCAAGGCGGTATTTTTGATGAACGTCTCATCCGAGTATAATGTGATCCACACGTTATCAGATATGAGACTATCGGTCATTAGATTCAAAGATTTGACAAACGAGTCAGTTATAACAGGCGTAGCCGTGTGTGGCGAGCGGAAATCCTAGGAGGTTTTACAACTCTTCGGCTATTAGCTGCAGTGTTAGATCTAGTGCATTGCCACTCCACAATACTGCGCGGGTAGGCAGAGTACACGATACATGGCAACTGATTGGTAACACATTTGCTTCCATTAGGACTACAGGTCAAAAGGTTATGGGTGTGTTACAACTTGCTATTAGTTCACTTAATCACTGTGCTTACCGAAGCGGTACCGGTGGTCTTAATAACTCAGGTAACTTGATCCCCTGTTACACATTATCATGAGTTAGGCTCCAACTAGACGTTTCTTGGATGCGTCGACACTCGTCCTGCTTCTAAAGAATCACTTGTCTTTCATTTTATGGACGACAAACTGAAGCCCATAAAGAAACGCATCAGGTCCAAAACTCAAACCGAAGTTGATGATAGCAATTGTTCACCACAGTAGTGCTATTTCACAACATCCTCCACACACACCAGTCATTATTTTTGCAAATTTTTAATTGCGAATCCCAGATGGTACCGAAAAACCGAGTTGTTCAGATAGAAATTCCAGGAATTATCGAAGGTTGCATTCTTGCGAGGTTTGTAACTATCAGCAGCGGGGTTTAATCTGGATCTCACTAAGGCACTCTATCTTTCACCTTTGTCTGCCAACTGGAGGAATTACCAGCCCGTTGATTCGTGATACTCAACTTCAACCTCACTGTGTCGACACTGTTCTGTTCTATGTTTACCATCGCACACGACAACGTCACAAGGGTCTTACCCTCATTGTCCCCCCCAATGATGATTCTCTGCATGTAACCAGCGGAGAAATTGGCATATCAAGCTTGTACGTCCATCGTGGCATTATCACGGACCAGCGTCAATCATGTCGTTGCCACATGAATTCGACTACTGCTAGGGGACACATGGAGTATACGAATGTCCAGCGCTAATCAGTAGAATTGTGGATAGCTCCCATTGCTTTACTCTTGTGCTTTGCTCTTTTTCACTGGAAATTTTTTTAGTTGCCTGTCCTGTTTTTTATTGGTAAGCATGTGTCATCGTGTGGTGGTGGATCAACTTTGTTGATTCCCGCTTGGTTCGACGGTGTTCCACTTTGCTGTAGAGGAGAAGCTGAATGTATGTGATCTTTTCATATAGCAACACGAGCAACAGCACCTAACCTGACCAGCCTGGTGCTTTCTTTTACTGGTCACCTCTAGCACCGACACTAATGGATGTTGCAAACAAAATTCTCCCAATTTGCGCAGATTACTCAACAACGGCCAGATTTATTGATGGTGAGTCGTCTTTCTGCATTTATTTATCCTGTTTATTTTTTATCTTGTTTATCCTTTATCATTATTAGTAACTTTGCAGTCGTGGTTCAAAGCACGCTAACGTACCGAGCACTGTTGATAATTGATCAGCCATACTGAACTGAACATGGGCTATACGGTGTGTCTAATTCCACGAGATAGCTCAGTGCTGGTGCATCATGTCTTGGTGGTTTAACTGCAGCGTATGAGGTGTATGGAGGAAGCTGTGGGTATTGCAGCGCAAGTCATCTATGAATTCGTCTGTAGGCACAGGCGTCCTACGGGATGCCCTATGGAGGTCGCAGTGACAGGTAATTCCGGATCCGTATGTTGTCAGCCATAAATACCTGAGCAATTTGCGTTGGTTCATGAACCTTCTTTACCGGACGGCGCAGTGCTACCGATATAGTAAAAAGTATAGCTTCAAACTCAACTCTCTAGTCTTTTTATTCATACATGGGATTTACTTGCCTTTTTAGTCCATAAAAATGATTTAGTAGGTAGTCTAATTCCTCTCACCCTAAAGATTAGGTTTCTAACCTTACTTTGATCGTAACCGTCATACAGTCACGACTTACGCTCCACAACCAAGTCTAGATGACCGTTCTGCGTTTCTCACAGAACCGCACTATTAACTACATGTAAAAGGCTACTACGTTCTTGTTTCCACTAGTATCCACCATAAACCGCTCTAAATTTCACCAGAATTTTATACGCGATAGGTGACTGCTGCCCGTCTCCTCCTTTCTTCACTGTATTCGCCAATTACTACCACCTTTCACTCGCCTATGCTAGCTACTTCCATGGTGCAACATAAATCATGGTCAAAAATCACTTCCTTCATTCACAGTACAGTCGCTGTACAGTCACGGTCTCGTCAACCATGCTCTTGCCGGAGCTATGAAGCGTTTGGTCAAGGATTACTTCATTCTTCTCTGTCAGCTGGAGAACCAATACCGAAACTGTCGACTGGGTGTTGCCCGCTTACAATTCGCACTGCAGGTCGGTTTCCGCAACTTTCTTCACTGCGTAGTATCTGAGTTCACCTCTCTGTCTTCTCTAAATGCACCTTGCTTATACTGCGATGTCGTGATCAGTTCATTATCTATTCGTTTTGACGTTCTCTCCGTCACAGAAGTTAACCAACGGCGACCTATCATCGAGCAGGGAGAGTAGGGGTTTGGATGCAACTGCACAGGCCTTCTGGTTTTCTTATTCCCTCTTATTCCCTGTTTTTCAATTCACCATTTAATTCCTCCCTACCTTTCTTTACTAGGCTTTTATCTTCTAGGTTCAACACAATCGCAGAGCGTCACTTCTCCCCCCGTAAGCCGATACATGTCTAACCATGCGAATAACCTCATTTCATCCATTTCTCTTTGAAACGCGCGATCTTCGCTAGGGCTGGTATGCCTCAACGTGCACACTTACAAATCGATGAGAAGGCAGCACTTGTCTGAATACGAAGACCATATCGATCGATATTTGCTGCTTAGCGGAAATCCACCTGCAAAATTCGAGTTCAATACTCACTCTACGATCTCCTTCATGTGGCATTAACTGCATTTTCTCACTGTGTCCATCCGCAGATAACGCAAATTCAACTACCGGTTAAAACTGCTTTGGTAGAGGAGATCCGAGCCAGTAAAATATATATATATATATATATATATATATATATATATATATATATATATATATATATATATATATATGGTGGACGACAGCCGGTTTCGGATTTGCCTGTCACTGCGGCCTCCATAGGACTGCCATAGGAAGCCTGCGTCTACAGAGGGACCATGGATGGGTTGCGCTGCACCATCCACAGCCCCAATTACACACCCCATATCCAGTGTAAACCCGAAGGATTAAGACCGGGAGGCATGCGGATGTGAGCCACGTTTCATCAACGGATCCGGCCCACACTCCTTCACAGGCAAACACAAGCACGCTGTATTTGGTGAATCAAACGCACACAAGGCGGTGACTGGACCATAGTCCGCTCCACACTGAGTATATAGAAGCACTCTTCGAGCCTAGCATGACCACAAGGACTGTGCACCCTGTCCTCTCCAGCAATGACCACCTGTCTCCTGAAGCCATTATGGACGAGGTAGTGGGTAATAGGCAGGTAGGCACCTTGTTAACACTCACACCAAGCGCGGCCACACCGGGGATGTCAAGCAACAGCCAATCTCTTGGAATGACGATATCAATTAATTTAACTCGAATAACGCTTACGGATTTGCTGATTTAACTCCTCACTAAATTGGGATGTGGAATAAACTTTTTATCAACATATTTGCGGTAAACTCAAGCTGGCAGTAAATGAGATCAAAGGTGAATAAAATTAACGAAATTAACCACCTTTCTTTTAAGCTGCGTGTGTAGGTATTTAGAGGATTATTCAGATATACATTAAAATGAGGTAACAAAGTGAGTATTAACAAAATATAGCAACCTGATCAACTGAAATACAGAAATTCAGCACACAAGCATATGGTTACTAAATCGAATGCAGAGTACGTACCAACACTGCGCCGGTTCTGTTTACGTCCTCAGCATCACCCGTCGTCTTTTTGATGGTTGTCACGAGTGGCCTTGCTCGTGGCTCACTAGACCTGCCTAACTCAGGCATTCGCAACATCATGTGCTACAGCACCATACGCACGGCGCCTGCCGCTTCTCCCCATTCACGAGGGCTTTCTCCTGCACCTCGGCAACTGCCCTCGGGAGCAAACCGCGCCATGCACGCCGATCAATGCCTGAAATCAACATTAGAACGTGAGAGGCTTACTTTGATCATGTACTGGTAACGGAGCTTCGTTTTCCCTACGTGCCGCTTCCCAATACTCGGCTGACCATATAATAGTTGTTTCGGTATCCTCGTCGAATCCATACGGCTCACATGACCGAGCCACCTCAGGTGTCTCAGTAAGAGTATGCAGTTCACTGCATACCTTCGGATAACACTGAACTCGGGGATGAGATAGAGGCCGTTCTGCTGTCCGCCAATCGACTCTGCAACATCTCAAGTGGAGTGCGCTTACTACCTGAAATCTCGTGGAAAGAACGTGTAGCGGATCCAACTAACAGTGTGAGGAGCAGAAAAAGTCAAGGTAAGAAAACTGTGATTGCTCACAGTTCCTGAGCTTATTGATACCTCTTCCGACGATGTGCAGGTACACTACCGGGAGCAATGGCACTACATCCGTGAGGCTCTTTCTTTCGAAAATGTTCTTTCCACCTCGTTGACAAGGATCCCTTTATCACCGAGCTATGAGGGGTGCGTTCTCAGGCTGTTGAAAATGGTGTTGCAATCAAAACTAACAGCGCAAACTCTTTTAGAGAACTGGACTAAATTCCGCAGCAGATTGCCAGCAGGAATTCGTCTGAAAGCAGCAGGACCACCACGACCTTCTATTGACAACTCGGTGGGGGCGCAGCTCCCAATGATAGCACCAACTGTAGGACCCGACTCGGTGACGGTTTCGATCGTAGCTATAACATCCGGAGGGACACAGTAGAGCACGAACGAACACCGGGATGCGGGGCATCTGATGCTTGAGTATATACCAAATTCGTCTCGAGAGTCTGCATCCCATCCCAAAAACGATTAGCCGCCGACCTTACATCGGTCGGCGTAAACTCACTTCATCCATCCCACCCAACACACTTTTAGTCTCCGAGAATCTCTCTTGCATGTACACAAATACCCAAGCTCTACTCAACAAATTGGCTGAATTAAGACTTCGACCCCCGTCAGCAGCTTGGGACCTCATCGCTATCACGGAAACGTGGTTGCGCTGTGAGATAACGGATTCCGAAATCGCGCTAACAGGTATGTCTATTGTCCGGAATGATCGAGCCAGCAAAGATGGTGGGGTAGCCCTCTACTTTCGTAACAACCTGCAGTGCGAACCCATACACGATTCGAAAACCGATGTACCTGACTCCATTTGATGCAGCTTCCGACTGAGAGGGAACTATCTTGGATTGTGGTTGTTGTTTACCGACCACCATGGTCTATACCTGAGATGGACTGCAACTTGGTGGCTGTATTGAGGCAGGTGATAAACAGGAAATACAGTCACGTTCTAGTCGCCAGCGATTTCAAGTTACATGCTCTAGAATCCCAGGTCACACCAGCAGAGCAATTCAGAGCAGACCTGCAAGACCTTGTCACAGATTTTCCGCTTTATGGCCATGTCACTTCGCCCACCAGATTCAGGGGAATAACTGGCCATCCATATTGGACCGAATCTTCACTAATGAAGGACTGATGATCGAAAGAGTGATAATCGATACTCCTCTAGGCCCCAGCCATCATGTGACTTCGCATTTCATGTACACTTACTATGCTGAATAGCCCGAGGACCGAAGTCAAACAACGCGCACCTGAACCATTTAAAACACCTTAACCCGACTCGTTGAAGCGACCGACTGGATTTTCCTAACCGAGGATGCACCCTGTATGGTCTGGGAGCGTTTCGTCAGTAACTTTGACCCCCTGGTTAGTGAAGCATCGGAAACCAAGGCTATCAGTTCGGGAAACATGACGTAGTTTGCACGGAGTAGGACACGCAAACGCATGGTGATGCTCAACGCGGCATGGTATGCCCACAAATTCGTTCCGAGTCCGAGTACCTGGAAGGCACATGTTGTCCACCGTAACCACTGCACCCAATTAGTGCGCGAGGACAAAGTAGCTTATCAACATGCTTTAGCCGAGCGATTAACTGCAAATCCTAAGCTTCTGTACAAGCACGTGAACAGCCACCGCAAGGTGAAAAGTGGACGGTCTAAGACGGACTGCTAAAGAAGCGTCGAACGTTCTGCAACAACAATATATACCAACGTTTCATTGCATCCCGTGGTCTCCTGAATCTTTGGAATCTATGGTGCCCACAGCAGCACTCACTCATATAAATTTTACCACAGACATCGTGATCAGAAAGCTGCTATCCATGCGCCTGCACGCCTGTCCAGGAACTGATGACATCCGCTCAAAGGCGCTTGCTGTGGCGGCTACTATTTTGGCTGAACCTTTGGTGCGGCTGTTCCAGCGCTGCTTGACGAGCGGCACGTTCAAACACGGAACAAAACTCCCATTGACAAAGGGGGTAGTCGTTCCGACCCAGCTAAGTATCAACCAGTGATTCTACTGTCAGTTCTTTCAAAAGTTATGGAAGCTATCATCGCAGACTCGCTCATGTCTTATCTGGACGGCTTTGGTTACGCTGCTCAGTAGCAACCCGGCTTCCGCCAGAAGCGGTAGTGCACAACCAATCTATTGTTAGCACCATACAGCTGATTTCTCTAAGGCATACGACCGGTTGGACCATGGTATCCTTCTCGCCAAACTTCAAGTATGTGGCATTTGGGACTCTCCTCGGGTGGATGTGCAATTTTCTCTCGCACAGGCCTCTGGAGGTGAGAGTACGTGAATCCGTGTCAGATCCAATTCACATCGAATGCGCTGTGTCACAGGATTCGGTATTGGGGCCCTGTCTATTTTTGGTCTTCATAAACGATCTAGTGAGTCAAATTGCCTCAAACTGTTTACTCTACGCCGATGACATCAAAGTTTGGCGAGTGATCAGAGCTCCGGAAGACCATATCCAACTTCAAATCGATCTTGACAAGATTTATAGATGGTCGGTCAAAATTCACCTTCCGTTCAATTCGGCTAAATGTCGAGTGCTCCATTTAAGACACCGAATGCTTCACACATATAAGCTGGGGGACCAGGATCTGCAACACTGTTCTCTCGAAAAGGATCTCGGTGTGTTAGTTCAGGAAGATCTCGGCTGCTCGGAGCAGTCCAAGAAGGCATCGAAGAAGGGGATCCAAATCGTGGGGCTTTTACGGAGAGCTTCCGGGCAATTCGAACCTTCGATTTTCCGCCAAATAGTTCCCGCTTATTTACGTCCACACGTTGAATATGCAATTTAAGCATAGTACCCATGGCTAAAGCGGGATCTCACGGTCTTGGAGCTTCCACAATGTCGGGCGACCAAAAGTGTCAAGGGGCTGCGCCACTTGTCATATGAACAGCGCCTC